CTATCATCAGAAGTAATGACTAAAAAGAGACATCCTGGTTAGGCAGTTGACCTGTTAGGATGCGATAACCAAAAGGGTCACCATAAAACTCACAGATTAAGGCTATTTCCCTTCTATTCTAGCAACTGCTGCTAGAATCCTAGATCTAGTTCTAGCATCCACAATTCAAGACTGTTGATAATCAGAGAGGGTGCAGAGAAGAGTCATGAGAACAACTCAAGGATTAGAAAGGATGCTTTATAATGATCAATTGAATACATTAAGAGAAGATGAAGGGTTAACTTAGTTTGTGGGGGGTAATTTGACAATGGGTTCCTCTGCCATAACTTAATCAGTTTGTGGGGGGGTAATTTGACAATGGGTTCCTCTGCCTGCTACACTGAGGTATAACAAGGTGCAATATCTAGAAGGAAGACACATTTGGATGGCAAAAGGTGGCACATAAAAATTAAGAGCTAGCAGAAGTGACATACCAGCAGGAGGTTGTGATGGATTCTATCACCAAGAATTTTTAAATAGTTTTTCCCCCTCTGAAAAGATAGATACTTTAATTCAGAATTTCTGTGAACCAATTCCTATCTGAGGTCCTTCATAACAAACCAGATAACCACACACCATTAGCTTATACCTAACCAGTTAAAAGGTTAAGCACTGAAGCATATTAAACTATGTACATTTTTACACTGCTGCCTCACTTACTGTGATCCAACTCACTGACTGTGATCCAGCCAATGTCAAATAACTATTTCTTACTCAACTTAAAGCTACACTATGCATGCAAGTTGAGAGCAACACAAAAAGACTCAAGTTTAAACAGGAGAGGAAGCAAAACAAACCAACCAACCACCAATACCTCACTTAGTTCTGAGGTGTTTCTATTCAATGTATTTTCCTACGCTTACAAAACTCCGGGGGGGAGGGGAGGGGGGGGGGAAGTCTGCCTATCCCATAGGGAACAGTAACTCACAGGAATATCTTGTTCCTTTCAACATGGAAAGAGAAGGTGGCAAAACACAAAGGCTTAAAGTTGTAATCAGGGATCCATTTTCACCATGTAATTATAACATACACCTCCATAATGAGGTGTTAGTTTGACAGGGAAGGAGCAATTGTAATAAAATAAACATGCTATCGTTCAAATTCAGTCCTCATGTAAGTGGGTATAATTTCCAACAAGTGAATTGGAGCTGTGCCAGTTTATTCCCTTCACAAATTTATCCCCACAGACAGCCGTGGTAGCATACATTGAGCTTAATAAGCAGCTAGTGTACCACTAATCCAGATTGTTACTGCGCATTATGAGACAGTTATTGCACACCGCTCTGTGGAAACAAACAAAAAAAATGGAACCCAAGTTCATGGGGATGCCTATGGAAGCTCTGTGGAAACAAAAAAATGGAACCCAAGTTCATGGGGATGCCTATGGAATTCTAGGTATTACAAGATAAGACCATTAAATCTTTTGACAGTTTTTTCCACTATTTCAACTAACTTCATCCCATTAACAAGTGTAAAGCACAAACATAGAATCAGAGAGCTGGAAGAGACCTCAGGAGGTCATCAAATCCAGCCCCCTTCCCAAGGTAGGACCAATCCCAACTAAATCAACCCAGTCAGGGCTGTATCAAGCTGAGACTTAACACCTCTAGGGATGGAGATTCCACCACCTCCCTAGCTAACCCATTCCAGTGCTTCACCACCCTCCTAGTGGTATAATTTTTCCTAATATCCAACCTAGACCTCCCCCACTGTAACTTGAGACCATTGCTCTTTGTTCTGCCATCCGTCACTACTGTGAACAGCCTCTCCCCATCCTCTTTGGAACCTCCCTTCAGGAAGTTGAAGGCTGCTATCAAATCCCCCCCTTCCCCTCACTCCTCTTCTGGAGACTAAACAAACCCAAATCCCTTAGTCTCTCCTCATAGGTCATGTGCTCCAACCCCCTAATCATTTTGGTCGCCCTCCGCTGCATCCACTCCAATGCATCCACATCCTTCCTGTAGTTGGGGGCCTAGAATGGGACACAATACTCCAGATGTGGCCTCAGAGCCGAATAAGGGGGAATCATCACTTCTCTAGATCTGCTGGCAATGGTCCTCCTAATGCACCCTAATATGCCATTAGCCTTCTTGGCTACAAGGGCACACTGTTGACTCATATCCAGCTTCTCATCCACTATAATCCCCAGGTCCTTTTCTGCTGAACTGCTACTTAGCCAGTCAGTCCCCAGCCTGTAACAATGCTTCGGATTCTTCCGTCCCAAGTGCAGGACTCTGCACTTGTCCTTGTTGAACCTCATCAGATTTCTTTTGGCCCAATCCTCTAATCTGTCCAGCTCACTCTGAGCCCTATCCTTGCCCTCCAGCATATCTACCTCTCACTAGCTTAGGGTCATCTGCAATCTTGCTGAGGGTGCACATGTGGTGAATAGGGGCAGGAAGGGGAGTTGATGTCCAATTTTCTGGACAATCCCACCATTCATATAGCTAAAATCTTCTCACTAGTTAACTCTTTAGACCCAAACTGAATTGTCTTGCCTGTAAGCGTTAGAACACTAAACAGTGGGTTCTAGAGAGCCCCCAAGAATACCAGGGAAGCTGGAGGTGAGTTGGCAGGAAGCCAGGAGAGCTAATGGAAAAAGAGCATGGACATTTTAATTGGAAGTAGAGGCTTCCTGGTCCTCTGTGTGGCCAGCGCAGAGCCCCTGGAATGACTGAAAAAGGAGACAGGCATGAATGTTTCTGGATTCTCCATGCCTGGCTCCCTAGGGAATGATTAAATCTTGAACTACAAATATGTGAGTGGAGGAGGGAATGTTTAGACAGACGTGATGGGGTTATTTTCAGGTTTGTGGTACTTGTCTATGCTCAACATCTGTAACTACCCTTTTACACTAACTTTCCATGCTGAACCCCTGAGAAGCAATTGTGTTTTTAGACGTGATGGGGTTATTTTCACGTTTGTGGGACTTGTCTATGCTCAACATCTCTAACTACCCTTTTACACTAACTTTCCAAGCTGAACCCCTGAGAAGCAATTGTGTTTAATCCTTCTCCCCTCCGCCTCAGTTGCTGTAGCACCTCACAACCAAGTAATGTTTAAGTGTGTGTTTAAACACACAAAAATCTCTCTTTTAAGACCATGATCTGCTTCCTGGCTTCTAGAAGGTGAGAGGTAGGGTGTGTGCATGCCCAAGACTGCACAATTAAACGAAGAAAAATTAAAGTACCACTTTCAGCTGGCTTTTAAGATCTCTTCAGAGGAAGGCTAGATGTGACCCTGGCAATTACAGATCTGAAAGTAATGTCAGTACCTAGTTTAATATAAAGAATCAAACTAATTTGCTATCAGACACACAGATGAACGTAATTTGTTGTGAAAGTCAACGAGGAGGGATAGTTCAGTGGTTTGAGCATTGGCCTGCTAAACCCAGGGTTGTGAGTTCAATCCTTGCGGAGGCCATTTAGGGGTTTGGGGCAAAAATTAGTCAGGGATAGTACTTGGTCCTGCTGTGAAGGCATGGGACTGGACTAGATGACCTTTCAAGGTCCCTTCCAGTTCTAGGAGATAGGCAATCTCCATTATATAAATAAAAATAATCTCCATTTTACTGCTTTGGAAAACTTAAGACTCTTGAGAATATTAATTTTTCAACAGTGTAGAAAAAAATGTTTCCCATAAAGGAGTTTGATACTGTAGACATTTCGAGGCTAAATGGTTCAGTTCGCAACTTTCATGATTTATATTTGTCATCAGCAGGCAGCAGCTTTTTTTTTTTTTTTTTTTTTTTAAGAATAAAGCAATGGAACAAATGTTTGAATATCAAATGCAACACCCTATTCCAACTCTGCTGATTGCTGTAGATATTCCAACTCTGCTGATTGTATTTAAAAAGCAATTTCCTATTTTATTTCTCCTGTAGCATAGGGACCCTGTACTTAGTACAGAAGGCATTTGCAGAAATGAAGCAACCAACACCACAAGATTCCTCTTTCAAGTTCAACACAGGAGGATTTCTCTTAAAGCTGTGGAACAGGAAGTAAGTGTGCAAACAAGGATTCTGAAAATGTGTGTCTGACCATACACATTCTAGACCTTTTAACTAACGGGATTTTGAAATACACATCTGCTACAATACAATATATTGATTATGAACTGGGGAAAAAAAAAAGATTGGCCCACATTGCCAGTCAAGAAAAATACATAAAGAGTACTGGAGCACTGTATCGGCCATACTGTGCCCAAATGTTTTATGGCACTGATACCTTTACTATGTCTTTCACAACAGGCCAAAATAGCCCATGTTATATTTGCACAATATCACTCCTCCATTGCAGCAAACTATAGTTTCTGGCACTGAAGAGAAAAAGCAATATAGTGGTCCTCCTGGCATTCATGCAGGAGTCCCTCTTTCCTCGCCCACAGAGGACTCCCCTATTGTGCTATTCTGAGGATAAAGAGACCTTCATGGAATTATCAGAAAGAGCCTCTTGGATATCAATTATGATGTGAAGAGCAGTCATTAAGTGTAAAATGCTTTTATATAAAGCATTAAGTACCACATAATGCTACTTCATCAGCAGGTGATTTTTGCCATTCTCCCCCTAGTCTAATAATCATGAGAATCATCTACTACAAGTTTAAGAATTAAGCACAATTACATGCAAACAGAGTGCAGTAATAAAACCCTTTGCCCTATGCAGGCAGTATTCCACCATTAGATGTTAGTGTCCATTGCTTGTATTCATTTAAAATGACCACAACAGCTTATTTTAAGATTTTTATTATTTCTACTTCACAAAAAAGCCCTATTATATGGCTGAACTATAAAACCCAATGACCCATCACCACAAGATTCTTGGTACTGTTTAAGATGCTATAAACATGTCAAAGTCAGTGACTAAATGACCTGAGTCATTCAGGAAATGTTTTCAGAGCTATGATCATGAGATTGCAACAAATTAAAATTCAGTATTGGAGATGGAGTGTATTTTATTTACCTTTTTGCTTCTTCTAGGTGGCATAAGTACTCATAAGCAATGTTCTGACGCCTCCTCTCATCCATTTCTTCTGCTGAAAGCCTTTCATCATCCACAATAGCTGCAGAAAGAAAAACTAATGTCAAGTTACATATTAGGAGGTAACCTTCAAAGCAATTTTACTGAAAAAACCCCCACAACACAAAATTGTTGCTCTTGGGAAAATGCTCTTTATAGGACTTCACTAAGGAACATTTGCCAAATAAAAAGTACTATCAGAACACAAAATAAAGATTAACAGTGTTAAAGCATAACCGTAAGATCTAAGTTTTATAAAAGTCTTCGAAAATTTCATCCAAAGCTATTTTCCATGCACCACATTCAGTATTCTAACCTTCTCATTAGTCTTCAGATAAATATGAAGGTGCATGCAGGGTTTAATAATTTTTCCTGCCTTTCTTTAAAAGATAGCAAAGAAGCTTCTCAGCAAACACTTTTTCAGACAAACACTAAGATAACAGATAATAGGCTTTCCACTCCAGTTCTCCTTATTCCATTCCTCATCAGTAGCCTCCCTCTTTTGTAAAAATTCAAGTCCTTACCATGAAAGGATGACTTTTCCTGCATAAGTTTGGTAACATATACTGGAGGTTGTCTATGCAATCTTCTGACAATTTAGGCCTGAAGATACTACAATGCTAACCAGTCTCCTGGACAAATTATACGTCCTGCACTGATACTCTATCTAATTTATTGGGGGGGGGGGGGGAACACACACAACCACACCCCCGCACCACCTATAATTAACAAAACTGTGCCAGTCACCAGGATTATTTGTTTGCATGTTATTACTCCTCACCAAACTTAGATCTATTCATGTATTTTGGATTGTAAGGCCACGAGACAGACACTTGCATTCATACAATACCCAGCACAATTAGGGTTGACAACCCCCCCAGTTTTAACCGGAGCGTCCTGGTGGTTACGAAAGCCAAACTGACAGATTTTAGGCTGCTAAAAGTCTGGCACTGAAGTAGGGGTAAGGCAGGCTCCATTAGTCCTCGGGCCCCATGCTGCTCCTGGAAGTGCTTTGCACATCCTTTGAGCCCCACGGGCATGGGTGCAGGAAGAAAGGGGGGGGCCCACACAGTTCCTGGCCCAAACTCCAATTCTGCAACTCCAATTGGCTGGGAATTGCAGCTAATGGGAACTGTGGGGGTGGTGCCTGAGGCAAGGGCAGCACAGAGTCCCCAGCCCCTTCCCTGTAGGCCACCAGAACATCCTATTCACACCTTGGAGCTGCTCTGGGCCAGGGCAGGCAGCATGCCTGCCTTCATCCTGCAACACTGCCAAGTGGGAGCCCCCTCCTGACGTTCACACCCTGAGTCACTACCCCAGGCTCAACACCCCCTAACACACTCCAAACCCCTCTGCCCCATCCCAGAGCTCACTTGCCATCCTGCACAACCATGCCAGAACATCCTATTCACACCTTGGAGCTGCTCTGGGCCAGGGCAGGCAGCATGCCTGCCTTCATCCTGCAACACTGCCAAGTGGGAGCCCCCTCCTGACGTTCACACCCTGAGTCACTACCCCAGGCTCAACACCCCCTAACACACTCCAAACCCCTCTGCCCCATCCCAGAGCTCACTTGCCATCCTGCACAACCATGA